ATTTCTGCCCTGCAAACTGGTTCATCCGTACCATTTTTCTAGGTTCCACATATATGCGTTATTATACGATATTTGTTTTTCTCTTTCTGACTTCACTCTGTATGACAGTCTCTAGATCCATCCACGTCTGTACAAATGATCCAGTTTCGTTCCTTTTTATGGCTGAGTAATATTCCATCGTATATATGTACCACATCTTCTTTATCCATTCGTCTGTCGATGGGCATTTAGGTTGCTTCCATGTCCTGGCTATTGTAAATAGTGTTGCAGTGAACATTTTGGTACATGACTCTTTCTGAATTATGGTTTTCTCAGGGTAGATGCCCAGTAGTGGGATCGCTGGGTCGTATGGTAGTTCTATTTTTAGTTTTTTAAGGAACCTCCATACTGTTCTCCATAGTGGCTGTATTAATTCACATTCCCACCAACAGTGCGAGAGGGTTCCCTTTTCTCCACACCCTCTCCAGCATGTGTTTTTTGTAGATTTTCTGATGATGCCCATTCTAACTGGTGAGAGGTGATACCTCATTGGAAATTTTTCTTCTGACGTGGTGTCAAAGGCAGTAAGAGACCTGAGGCACCAGAGGCCTGCAGGTCGGTGTGGCACTGAGGTCCTGAGCAAAGAGAGTGGCAGTGGGGGAGCGGGGCAGCCAGAGTCTAGAGTACTTGCTCACTTAAAACAGAAGTGAGGGAGGTGGAGGTGCTGAGGACACTTGAGTTTTCTAGCTAAGCCAACCAAGATAGAGGATGTGGTGGATGCAACAGGTTTGGGGGGAAATGGGTTCATGGTTGGACAGGTTGAGTTGTGCAATACCTCTGAGCCACCCAGGAGGAGAGTCCATGAGATAGCTGGTAAAGCACATAGGAGCCACGGGGATTCTTCCCCCATTTTACAGAAGAGGAATTGAGGCTTAGCGAAGGGACATTGACTTGCTCAAGGTCACAATGCTGGTTAGCGGAGGAAGTGCAGGGCTTGAACTATATCTTATGTAACCTTGCTGCCTTCTGAGAAGGAGGTGAGGGGGCTTCTTGCATCCAGGGAACCATCCCTCACTCCAGACACGGGAGGGGCCAGAGCTGGGCACCTTGAGCCTAGAGAAGAGAGAGTTAAGGGGCCAGACCAAGTGAGGGTCAAAGGCTCTGGGGATTGAAAGGTTTCTGCTCTGTCGGCAGGACCCAGAACACCTGTTTGAAACCATCTCACAAGCCATGCTGAATGCTGTGGACAGGGATGCGGTGTCAGGCATGGGAGTCATTGTTCACATCATGTAAGTGTGCACTGGGAGAAGTCTAGAAGCTCTGCAGACACGTGCCTCTCCCCTCCTGCACAAACACCCCATCTTCCCAGCCCCCTAGTCAGGTGTGAAATAAGAAGGGCGCTTGCAGCAGGCCCGGGATAGCAGAAATCCATGCTTCCTAAGGGTGGCAGCTAAGGTGGGAGCCTACCAGATTCCCCTGGCCTCCGTCTGGTGAGGCTCTGTGTCCCCGAGTCTCCTCCCCTTGCTCACAATAGACATTTCTTTCCTTCCTGAGCACTGTCCCCAAAGTCTCAGGGACCTTTGTGGGGATGAGCCACAGCAGAGCTACTGCAGACTGATCAGAATAAATCCTGGGGGGCTCCTCTCCTCTCCCAGCTCACACCAGCATGGAACCCACAGCTGTGTGGCGTACCGAGCCCTGGGAATGTTTTCCAACCCCCCAGCCGGATGCCTAACTGCCACCCTCCTTCCCTCTTACTTGTTTGGGGCTGTCACCAGGAACCTGGTATCCTCCCAACAGCTTTCCTTGGGAACCTCCCAGAACAAGCATTTGGATCCTTTTGTTATGGGGTAACCTGCTTAATTACTGTGAAAAACAGGTTGGGGCTAATACAATTTACCACCCCAAGGATCTTTTCCCTTCACTGGAGTGAAACACCTCACACCTCCTTCCTAAGTTACTTGTTCTCTAGGCCTGGGGAGCTCCTTCCCTGCTTTGGAGCGCTTCACACTCCAGCCCTGAATCATCCCAACTCTCGATGGCTCCAAGTTATGGAAGTTTCTCCATTCTCCCCTTCCTCACCACAGGCCAGGAAAACAAGCTGACATTAGTGTAACGTGGGCAAAAGAGTTAACCCCAGAGTTAGGACAGCTGTTCTAGTTTGTTCTGCAGTCTAGAATGGGTGTAGATGTTCTGTGACTTTCTCCCTCTGCAGTGAGAAGGACAAAATCACCACGAGGACACTGAAGGCCCGGATGGACTAACTCTGTTCTTCCCAGAGCCCACTTTTTTTTTTCTTTTTTTTAAATAAAAGATTTTCTTTCACTCCTGCTTCTTTGAGTGTTTTACCACAGATCTCTGTCCCCAGTTGGGCAGTTACAAATAGCTACTCAGGGTATAGCTCAGCCCTCAGGTTTTCTTGACTTGCAGCATGCTCCACTGGTCCACCAGTGGGGATAGTATCTGCAAATCACTTGTTGGGTACCTGCTATGTGCTAGGCCCTGCACAAAGTGCTTTACACATTCTAAAATTTAATCATCATATTGACTCAAGGTAATATACATTAATTATCCTTGTTTAATGAGTTAAATAACTTGCCCAGGGCCACTTTGTGATAGGGCAAAGATGTCAACCCATGTTCCATTTGACTCCAAAGCCTAGCATCCTTTTAACTCAACTCTTGGAAAATGCTTAAATCTTCTTTGTTTCAGGTAGAAATTTGGCCAAGTATCCATAAGTAATATCCTTGCACATCAGTGTTTCTTTTTTGTGTGTTTTTTTTTTATTTTTGGCTGCGTTGGGTCTTTGTTGCTGCATGCGGGCTTTCTCTAGTTGCGGTGAGCGGGGACTCCTCTTTGTTGCGGTGCTCAGGCTTCTGATTGCGGTGGCTTCTCTTGTTGTGGAGCACGGGCTCTAGGCGCGCGGGCTTCAGTAGTTGTGGCACACAGCCTCGGTAGTTGTGGCTCACGGGCTCTAGAGCACAGGCTCAGTAGTTGTGGTGCACGGGCTCAGTTGCTCCGTGGCACGTGGGATCTTCCCGGACCAGGGCCTGAACCCGTGTTCCCTGCATTGGCAGGTGGATTCTTAACCACTGTGCCACCAGGGGAGTCCCCACATCAGTGTTTCTTAACCTTAGCTGCATATTAGTCCCCTAGGGAGCTTCTAAAACACAGGTATTTTGATCCCATCCCTGATTTATCTGGCCTTTTAAAGGGGCTGGGGCACCTCTTTTTTTGAAAAGTTCCCCAAGTGATTCCAGCTTGCAACCTGTAGCAGATGCCCTAATAATAAGCAAGTAGTTCCTAAACTTTAGCCTCCATTAGAATCATCTGGGGGGCTTGTTAAAGCAGGGGTCCCCAATGCCTGGGCCTCGGACCAGTGGGCGAGCGAGCGAAGCTTCATCTGCCGCTCCCCATCGCTCGCGTTACCGCCTGAACCATCCCCCACAACCATCTGTGGAAAAATTGTCTTTAATCCCTGGTGCCAAAAAGGTTGGCGGTCACTGTGTTAAAGCACAGTTTATGATTCCCAGGTGCTGGTCCAGGACCACACTTTTGAGAACCACTAGATTTTTTTTTTTTTTTTTTTTTTGTTGTTTTGGGTCTTCGTTTTTGTGCGAGGGCTTTCTGTAGTTGCGGCCAGCGGGGGTCACTCAACGTGGTGCGCGGGCCTCTCTTGTTGCGGAGCACAGGCTCCAGACGCACAGGCTCAGTAGTTGTGGCTCATGGGCCTAGTTGCTCCGCGGCATGTGGGATCTTCCCAGACCAGGGCTCGAACCCCTGTCCCCTGCATTGAGCAGGCAGATTCTCAACCACTGCGCCACCAGGGAAGCCCGAGAACCACTAGATTTTTTTTTTTTTTTTTTAATATTTATTTATTTATTTATGGCTGTGTTGGGTCTTCGTTTCTGTGCGAGGGCTTTCTCTAGTTGTGGCAAGCAGGGGCCACTCTTCATCGCGGTGCGCGGGCCTCTCACTATCGCTGCCTCTCTTGTTCTCTGCGGAGCACAGGCTCCAGACGCGCAGGCTCAGTAATTGCGGCTCACGGGCCCAGTTGCTCCGCGGTATGTGGGATCTTCCCAGACCAGGGCTCGAACCCGAGTCCCCTGCATTGGCAGGCAGATTCTCAACCACTGCGCCACCAGGGAAGCCCGAACCACTAGATTTTAAGCTAAAAGTTTAGATGGAGAACCGGAGGCACATAGAGGTGACTTGTTAAGTCAGCAACATAGCTAGTCAAGGGAGAGCTAGGACAGGTGTGTCGGGTGTGTGGCTCCCAGCAAGTGTTGGTTCTACGCGGCTGGAGAAGTGAGGGGCTGTTGGTCCATTCCTCAGTGAGTGTGGTAATGGCAGCTGACAGGCAGATGGTCCGGTGCCTGTGCTCTTACCATTGCTCATTAACTGCATCTGAGAGTGGGTGACCGAAGTCATTGACTGTTCTTTCCCCAAACTCAAGCCATACCCTGGTTTAGCCCAAGCAGCCCCTAAAACTGGGACCAAAACCTTTTAATTATGAAAAAGATAGATAAAAGGCTCATTTCCGAAGGACTCATACATAACAGGTGTGTACACAAACCTTTTTTGAATTTTATTTTTTTCCTCGGGTTGGAGAGTCACCTTAACACGCATGCATCTTAAAACAGTAACAGGGTCTCGAATTGTTCCGAGCAGACATTAGACAAGCACAGGGGGTTGAAAATTCCTATTTAAAAAAAATGGAAATTGCAGTGGGAAATTGAGAAGTCACACACATATGGTGGGGTGGTCGTTTATCCTGCTCCCCCAAAAGCTGAATCTAAACTTCATTCACATTTTTTTATTACAATGACCTGACCTGATGCTTGGGTGTGCTGAGCCGCACCAGGCCTTCCCCCAAAGGTTGTTGGTTCCCACTTCCTCCCAAAATGGCTCTGAGTAAGGGGAAGGGGCTCCTCTGGAAGTTTCCTCCCCAGCCTCCAAAGGATTTCCCGCCGGGGACAGCCGATTCTCCTCGTCCCTCTGGAGACACTCTTCATAAGTGGCACGTTTCAGAAGAAGGCCAGGGCTGTGTCACAAAGCCGCCTGTAGATGGCTGGTAGATTTGGGGGCAGTTTGAATGTTTTCCCTTTGATTCCCGTGCTCAGGCTGGAGCCTCCTCCCCACATTTCTGCCAGAAAAAAGTGAGGTCTCTGGTACTGGGGGAGCCACAGGTCTAAGGCCAGAGCTTCCTAAGGGTTGTTTTAAACACACTGTCCCTTCTGGCCCCTAACACTTGAGTAGCTCAAATGCTGGGGATTGCTGAAATTTCTTCTCTCCCAACCTGAATTGGTAAAAAGACAATTAGGAGGGTGGGACTGGCTACTGAGAAAAGTCCTGGGTCTTTGGTCCACCTCCCTGGGGCAGGCCCTGGCAGACTGTGAAGAGGGGAAAGTCAGTAGGGCAGGAGTATGTAGTCCCAAGCCCTGAGCGCTACCAGGGTACCTGTTTGAGGCCTAAAGCACAGGCAAGAGAAACAGAAGTAGGAAGAGGGAGAAGGGATGACGAGCTGCCTGTGGAGGGAACCTAGGGAGTGCCACTGAGAGCAGCCACAGGGGCGACTCATAGCACATCCCACAGACCAGTAACCCCTGAGCTAGATAAGGAGACATCGAGCATTGCCTCAGGCTGTGCTTCTGGAACTGCTGGCTTCCTAGCCTGCCCCATAACCCCCAAACTGCAGGGCACAGGGAATGAGCTTGCACTAGGGGACAAAGACTCAGTGGTTCATTAATAGGAACAAGGGCCAGAGGCCACCTTCTAGTGGTCTAGGTGGAGTTTTCAGAGAACCCCTTACTTTGGTGGGGAGACCTGGGAGACTAGAGTTTTCTCAGCCATAGACTTTCAGAAGAGGGGCAGGGCGGGAGAAGCTGTGACTGGTTAAATGGCAGAGGGAGAAAATGGAGAAAAATCCTGCCTTGTCCCCATCCAGGCCTCACCCAGTCAGCCACGTTCTATTCTTATGCCTTTGTTCTTGGGAGAACAAATTATTCTGGGATGCCGTAAGACCATTCAGTTTTTCTTCATGGCTCCAAAGAGTGATGGTGAGGGTAGTCACTTCCCCTCAGACACCTGCCCAGAGAGGGCATGGTGGGACTTGGAGAAAAAACACAAAGGTTTGGGGATCACTTCACTTTCTCTACATTCAGACTGCAAACCAAATTTAACATCTTCATCGTTACAAAAAGAAGAGAAAAAACTTGTATAAAACAAGATAAATAGCTTTTAAACATTTGAATGCCAAAGGAGTTAAAGGACCAAACCCAAGGTTTTGAAGATAGCACAGAGAATGAGCTTTAAACAAAATTTAAAATCCACCAAACCACAGCTTAAATGTTTTGACCCAGTCAACAATACTGTTAGAAAAACAAAAAGAGCATTTAAAACAGAATGCTACCTCTCAAAATGTAAACAATATACAAAACAAAAACAAAAGCCCACAAAAACTCGATGTTAAAGAAGTTAGATACCTGGTAGCTCACCTTCAACTGAACACAACTGGTTACACTTTTCGTACACATGATGGCGACATGATCAGCAGACCAAATGCAGGAAGCCGAGGGAGCCCAAGGTTGTGGAGGCTGCAAGAGGACAGCCTGAAAAGCTTGGGAGATGCTGGGCTCGACTAGGAACAGATCCAAATTTTCATTCTTGATTAGGAGGTGGGGAAATCAAGTCCAAACATTATTCCTACTAATCCCTTCCTAAGTCAAATTTGTTTTCTCCACGAGCCACTTGGTTCCAAGTTCTTCTCCCGGTCACTTCGCGGTCTTGCTGCTGACGTTCAGAGCTACCTACAGCCCCTTCCTGGGGCCAGGGCAGTTGTTTGGCCCCTGTCTGCCTCTTCCAGAAGGGTTCCAACAGCCCCAGTAGAGTCCAAGAATGCGGTCTCCATTCCTCCCTGACCTAAATACCGTGGGTTGGGCACAGAGATGGTGCTTGTTCCTGCTCCAGAAGCTGAGCTTGGCCAGGTTTGCAGGGAGCCAAGGAAACCAATCCATTCATTCAAAATGGTTCCACACACTTTCTTTCCATTTGCGGAGTTATCTACAAGTTTTACCGTGTCTCATCCCAAGACCCCAGTTCCTGGTGAGATGGTGAGAAGACGCAGGAATGTACCTCCCCCAACACAGGGCTGTTTTCTCTCCTAGCCAGACCAGACTGCTCTGATGGCATCGCAGAAGGACACAATTCTGAGGCTTAGGTAGCCGGCTCAGAAGGTGGGTAGAGATCCTGAAGGAAGCTGCAGGATGCCACTCCTGAGGAGGCTTGCGGGTGGCAGATCTGCGAAAAGTCTAGGGGGGCCATCGAGGAAAAACAGATCCAAGGTTGGGGCCAGGTTGAATCGCACATCAAGCCTCCAAATTGGATTTCCCAGGTCAGATCCTCAAGTGGCTCAGAAGCAACCTCAGGCTTGGGTGCCACGCTCCAAGGTGGGGGGCACCACTCCCTGCTGGCCACAACCATCCAGGTGACAAACCACAGGGAGTCAGATTACCTACATGGTAGCCCTGGGGGTTGAAGAGGTATCTCTGCAAGGAGCACCCCAGGCACATGGAGACCTGCCCCCAACTAAAAGCTCACCTACAAATGAGAGTGCCTGGGAGAAGGTCAGAAGGAAGTAAACGGATGGAGGGCATAGGACCTCATTCGATACTCATCGGCTTTTCTGGGCTTTCCCAAGGGGAAATAACCATTTAATAAGCACGAGGGTCCTGTTATATCCAAAGGTGCTTTCTAGTTCCTCTTGACTCAGTGGGAGGCTTTATAGAGAAGACATCTGAACTCCAGGGGCCTAGAGAGCCCAGGAGCTTGGGTGGTGATCATGGGGTTCTCTGAGAACCAGCTGTCCGAGAGCCCAGCAGCCCCCGACCCCTTACCATCCCATGAGGATGAACTCACTCCCCTCTGAGATCTTTGATTCTGATCCAGGATGCCTGATGTTGATCTGGAGTGTCCCTTCGGGAAGAACAGCACTTAGATGGAGGAATCATGTAACATTTCACTTGCAGCTGAGGCTGAAAAAGTGGAGGAAGCTGTGCACAATACTCCATGAAATTAAAAGTTAACCTAGACAAGATCAAATGCAGCAGGGAGGGCAGAGGTGTCTAACCTCCTCTCCTGTGGCACCAGAGCGCTTTGCTCTGAGAGGACCCTTCGCTGGGTCTATGGGTGCTTCTCTAATCGAAGGGAAGTGAGAGCAGGTCAGGGATGGGGAGGGTGGATAGGGTGATGACATACATCGTTATAAATAGCAAATCTGGAGCAACGAAATTTCAGAAACAAAACCCAAATAAACCCACAAAGTCATCTCTAGCCCCAAGGTATCTTAAAAAGTTACAGGGTAACAAAAAGGAAACCCCTTTTTAACCTGGGTCAAATGGGGGGGAAATCAAGGGTAAGCAGGTGAGGTTACATCCTGTGAGCACGTGCACACAGCACGTCCCCTCCCCTCCAGCTAGTCTCTTCCAGTGTCACAGGCTGCAGTCGCATTGCTAAAGCCCTCCTCTACCTGCCACTCTGCTCCCCACCCTCCCATCCAGCCCAAATAACACCCTCTCCCTCTTCCAATCCCCGACCCCACATCCAGCACTCTGGCTCTGGCTGAAGGTAGAGGGTAACTACGTCAGGATGTTGGACATGAACTCGTTGAAGCGTTTGGAGTACTGCTCAGGGTTCACAGTTGAGATCTCCGCTCCCGCCTGTAATACACAGAGGCCCTAATCAGGAGGCTGTACCTAGGAGGGGCCTGGGTATTCAGGAGCCTCTGGCTCCACGTTAGAGTTGAATACTACCCCCCGCCCCCAACGGGGCAGGCCACCTTGAGAAATGGTTCCCATGTCTCAGAAGTGCCCTGGCCCCGCTCCTCTGATTCACAATCCCAGGGCTGCTCCCACTGAAGCAGGAACAAGGCAATGGGGAGACGGCAGAGGGGCCCCAGAGCTCTGGGGGGCCCCTGTTTAGAGAACAGTAGCTTGAAGCCCATGCGGAAACAGGCCTCTGGCGAGCAGTGTGGGCATGTAAACAAGGCTATTACTGGCAGTCAACAAGATGCATGACATGCCCAGCAGCCCTGGGGGAAGGAGCCAGAGAACTAGGGGAAAAGCAAGTTGGGCATATCAGCCAGCTGCAGGGAGGGGATGGGACGTAGATGGCGGAGAAAGAACACAAGGCAACCAGGCGGGCTGCTCTTCCTGGTCCCTGTCCTGGGAGAAGGGGCCACGAGAGCATCTCCTTCGAGCAGGAGGCCTCCCTGGGGGTCTGAGGCCCCACCCCCCGGCCTGGATGGAGACACGAAGAACTCACCCCGTGTTTCACTGTTTTGGCAGCATGTGCAGCTTTCTTCTTAGCATCATATGGCGTGAGGATATCGATGATGGCCATGAAATAAACCTCCTTCTTGGGGGCACCTGAAGCGGGAGGGGAAGCAGGAAAGGAGGAGGAGGCAGGGAGAAGAGCAGAAAGCAGCTGGGTCCATAACCCTTCAGATACGACACCCAGATTCATCCCTATCATTTTGAATGTGAGGAAAGGAATGACCCATGGAGTCCCATGGAGTTCTTCTTAGAAGCTTTCATAGCTCTTATCTTATTTGATCTTCACAGCCACCCTGTGGGGTCGACGTGACACCGTTTAGGAGGCTTTGTCCATCCCGTGAACCAGAGCCAAACCAGGCCTCAGCTATCCAGGACAAGTAAAGAGGTGAAGGAAGGCCTGACAGAGAAGGACCCCAGCGCCCCAGAAGATAGCGTTACTGCTGGTGACCCAGGATGGAGGCAGAAAGGGGCCAAAGTCAGCAGTTACTAAGATGGAGGCCCACTGAAGTGGGGGAGGGCGGGTAGGATGAGGGCTGGGGGCGGGGCAGGCAGGCAGAGGCTCCTACTTACTTTCATGGCTTTTCATGGCATAGACATCAACAGAGGGATCAAATTCCCCAGGGCCAAAGAACCGGGGAAAGCTGAGGAGGTTGCCAGGGCTGTCCGGAGGTGTGCCGTAGGGGCAGAGCAGGCTGCCCCCCGCCCCGTCGTGCTCACACTCCTCATCCTCCGCCCGCTCCTCCACCTCCATCTCCTCCTGCTCTGCCCGGTCCACATCGTGGATGCCCACCAGCAGGCTGTAGTCCATGATCTTCAGCTGGGCCAGGAACTAGGGGCGTGGGGGGAGGACAGAGGGAAGGAAGAGGTTACAAGGGACATCTGGACAGGCAAAGTGGCATCTGGAAAGGGGAGAAAAGGCATTCCTTTCAACTTAATTCTCCCATTCTGAAATACAGCAGAGAATAAGACATCAGAGCCTCTGCCCTCAACGAGCTCACTATCTAATGGAGAAGATAGTCACTCCACAAGGGCGAGGAGCTGCGGGAGTCGACAGCAGCGGGGAGAGGGCCTCCCTGAGGAAAGGAGTTGAGCCTGACCCAATGAATGAAGAGAAGTCAGGCAGGCAGAGGCTGCGGGAGTAAAAGTAGAAGGAGCACTGCAGGAAGAGGGAAAAGCCGATTCTGTCTGGGATCAAGAGAGGCCATGGTGAGGTGGAGGAAAGAAATAATGGAACGCTGCACTGCGCATTTCTCATCCACGTAACAAGTGCTGGGAGCAGGATGGTATCTAAGTCTCCTGAGCCAGGACTCAATGACTTGGAGAAGAACAAAGAGCGTGGGAATGATACAGGATGGAAATGGCCAACCGGCATTCCAGTTTAACTAATGTGACGCCAGAGTCACTGGTCCAAGTCCTCTGTGAACTAGCCAGCAGCCACCATCAGCCATGTGCCAGGCGTCCTGCCATGGTCACAAACGAACCTGCAGCACTGCAGGAAACTGTCTGACTGACTAGACGGAGAATCATAATAGGACCAGAGGGGCTCTATGCACAGGCCCAGAAGACAACTAAAAGCATAAGAAGCCCCAGTGGTAGGAGATCAGCAGAATCTCCTCAGGAAAGAAAGGTGAGGGGCACCATTGCAAGCACCTCTGGACAATGCCCTCTGAAGGCCGAAGGAGAAGGGACCAGGGTCCCAGAAAAGAGAGACTCTGTGAGCCACACCCCCTCCCGTCCATCTGCAAACATTTATAAAGTAACATGCAAGTGAAAACAAATGAATTGTGTTAACTGCCTTAAATTCTTCTTGAAGGCAGAGTAGGGATAAAAGGAGGAAAAGGAGGAGAAAGACTCTGGACAAACCAAATGTCAGAATAAAAGCACAAACATAGTAGGGGGTGGTTAAGGTAAAGCTTACTAACAAAAATAAGTCTGTTAAACCCATGTTCGCAGAAGCATTATTCACAATGAAGCAATCCAAGTGTGAGGGTTGATTTTATGTGTCAACTTGACTGGGCTACTGGGTGCCCAGAAATTGGGTCGAATATTATTCTGGATATGTCTGTGAGGGTGTTTATGGATGAGCTTAACATTTGAATTGGTAAATTGAGTAAAGCAGATTGCTCTCCCTAAAGTAGGTGGGCCTCGTCCAATCAGTCGAAGGGCTGAGAAGAACGAAAAGGCTGACTCTCCTGTGAGTAAAAGGGAACTCCTCCTGCCTAACTGCCTCTGAGCTGGGACATCAGTTTTTTCCTGCCTTCAGATGCAGACTGAAACATCAGTTCTTCCTGGGTCTCAAGCCTGCTGGCCTCTGGACTAAAACTACACCATCAGGTCTCCTGGGTCTCTAGCTGGTCAACTGCAGATCTTGGGATGTGTCAACCTCCATAATTATGTGAGCCAATTCCTTATAATAAACATCTACCTATCTCTCTACACCCTATTCTGTTTCTCTGGAGACTAGAAACTAGATTAATTAGTTAACCTTAACTAGTGACCAAGTGTCCATCAACGGATGAACAGGTAAACAAAATGTAGTATATTCATACAATGGAATATTACTCAGCCTCAAAAAGGAAGGACATTCTGACACATAGCACAACATGGATGATCCTTGAAGACATTACAGTAAGTGAAAATAAGCCAGACACAAAGGACAAACACTGTATGATCTACTTATATGAGATTCCTAGAGCCATCAATTTCACAGAGACACAAAGTAGAATGGTGGTTGCCAGGGGGAATGGGGAATTAGTGTTTCTTGGGTATAGAGTTTTCGTTTGAGAAGATGAAAAAGTTCTGGAGATGGATGGTGGGGATGGTTGCACAACCATGTCAATGTACTTATGCCACTCAACTTCAAAATGGTTAAGATAGTAAATTTTATGTTATGCATATTTTACCACAATTAAAAAAATAAAACATTTTCTGAAGTTTATAGAATTTGGTTTTAATGAACAGGCTCCCAATTTATTAAAATAGGAGACACTGGGACTTCCCTGGCAGTCCAGTGGCTAAGACTCTGTGCTCCCAATGCAGGGGACCCGGTTTCTATCCCCGGTCAGGGAACTAGATCCCACATGCCGCAACTAAAGATCCCATACACAGCAATGAAGCTCCGCGTGCCGCAACTAAGACCTGGCACAGCCAAATAAATATTAAAAAAAAAAAAAGGAGACACTGAATTATCAGATATCACATTCATTATTTACCACCTGTCCTCCCCAAAGGAACTTCTCCACAGGAAGTCCCGTTCCAACCAGAATGCTGCTAGGTAAGTGGAGAATCAGAGCCAGAGAAAGGCACGGTTGGCAGATCTTAATAGCTGGTTTCCTGTCACTCTGACAGCTGGATGCCCCCTCCACTATGGGGACACCACCAGAAAGGAAGCGTCAAGAGGGGTTGGAACAGACTAGAGAAAAGATGAGGGAAAGCACTCCAAACTGAGTTACACACGTTCTACTGGCACAAATTGTGTCCCCCCCAAATGGAATGTACATTTGCACTAGCTTTAGATGCAAATAACTACCTACCTACATGGCTCAAATCACCACCCTTCCTCTTGTCTACACTCCTGGGAAGTGGTGAATTCAATTTTTCTTAAGATTAAAGAGGTTCCTCCTCTGGGGACAAGAGGAGGTCCTGTTTAACCAAAGTAAAAACAAGGGTAAATATATACCTCTACATCCCGTTTCAGTTTTTCCAGGAAGTTCTTTTTACTCTCTTCTCCCACGTGCAACTTCTGCCCTTCATTGAGGAAGTCATTGTCTTTGAAGGTTGGCAAGTCCTTGGCCTGAGAGAGCAATAGCAGTGTTAGGCTGGTGGCCTGATTTGTTCACCCAAAGGAGTCCTCTGCTGGGGGCAATGGTACAGGAAAGGAAAGGGTCCTCAGCACAAAGGTGGCCAAGCTGCCAAATCAACAGCTCAGTCCAGGAGTCTACAGTCCCAGCTTCGGGCAGGCAGGGATGGCAAATATGTAGCACGAGTCAGACAATGAGGACTGACCAAAGGACTTCCTGCTGAGCCCTGAGACTACCTCAGAGCTCAAGCAGCCAGCCACCCACGGATTCAGGCTGGCCTGAGATGGAAACTGCTAGCCCTCCAGGACTATGAAGAACCCAGCAAGGGCAAAGGAAAAGGCTGGAGACCAAGGCCTAGGCCAAGGATGAGGACAGACACAAGCTCAGTGACACAGCATTTCACATCAACAGACCGCATGTCTGGGAACTAGGCTGGGGCGGCAGCAGAGGAAGGGACAGGATGGCCAACAGAAGGTGTTTTTGATTCCAGCGACCCATTCCACAAGTGATCAGCACAGGCCCCAGCATACCTTCTCCTTGTCACTCGCTTCTCTGGCAACAGTAGAACCCTGAAAGGATAAGAGCCATCAGGAGAAGTCCAGCTGAGGCAAATTCCGTTGATCGAAAAAACATGCACCGGTCTTTAGGGAGAGGCAGCAGGTGAACTCAAGTAGGCTGGTTAGACTCCTAGAGGGGCCAGGAGGCAGCAACTTGTTCACTTCCTCTGTCACAGACCGCTTACAGAGCTCTGACTATATACCAGACACATGCTCAGGATATCGGGCTGAACGGAGAGACTCAGTCCCTGCCCTTAAGGAACTCTCCTTCTAACAGGGGAGACAGACAGTAAGCAGGAGTTACACGATTAATTAATCCATTAATTACAATGGTGCTCAGAAGGCAGGACTCTGAGAGCATGTAGTACCCGGGCAGGGCCCAGACTGGGGAGGGGCGGTGGCCAAAGCCTGCTTCCTAGAAGAACTGATTTTGAGCCGAGCTCGGAAGGTTAAGTAGGAAGTAATTAGGTGGGGGAAGGTGGAGGTGGAGAAAAGGGCAGGGAGAGAAAAGATCACAGGCAGCCTATGTGAGATCTGGGGAGGCGGAGAGCACGGGCACTGCAGGAACGGAAAGGAAACCAGTGCAGCCGCAGCAGAGAGAGGGAGAGTGGTGTGAGGAGACAGGAGTTAGGAAGCCAGGTTCAAGAACAATGGAGTGCTGTGGTTCACAGGCACACGTGTGTTTCTGTCCGTGTCTAGAAATGTGCTTGTGCTGTCAGTCCATGGGGCCTGGACAGCTGCCAGGGTGCCTGCGTCAGCACAGCCTGTCCCCGTACTGCTGCCCTCTGTGTGCACATCAATTGTTACATAAATATGGTACATTGGGGGCTTCAATAACCTCTTGTCACTGTCACCTGGACTTGAGACAGCCTTTGGCTCCTAAGAATTAGGCACATCAACTCCAGAGCCACTTGCCCATGCGAAAACATACACTCCGGCTTTCCCATTATGTGGAAGTTGGAGTCGTGGCCCCTCCACGCCTCAGGGAGAGGGAGGCCACAGAGCTGGGAAACACAGGGCCCCTTACCTTGAGGTCATACTTGCGGTGTACAGTGAGCCGATGGCTGAACACATTCCTGGTGACCACCATGTAGGTTTCTACGCCGTCCACAGTCAGGCGGTACATGCCCAGGAACTGTGGCAGAAGGGTATTGCCGTGACACTCCACTATGAACTAGAAAGGAAGGCAGGGAAGGAACAGGTGAAGGTGCCAGGATGGACGGGGCTCTTCCTGGGCTAACATGCTCCCTGGGATTCTAGCCTCTAGACCAGTGGTTTCCAAACTGGATTCTGTGAAATCACGGGGGTTCCTCAGACTTACAACAGGTAACAGCCGCCACCACCCCTAACTGGCAAGGCAGAGGGAGAGGCTGAGCAGGCAGTGCAGAGCCCCTTTGGTTTCATCCGATTGGGATTCTGCAGGAAAATCACTGATCTAGGACTTGCATCTTCTCTGCCAGCCTGAAATGGGAAAGCCAAAGGGCAGAGAGAGGATGCAGAGGCAGGGCTGTGATGGGGTCGCCTGGGAAAACTGAATGGCTCGTACCCAAAGCTCTCGCCCATGCGAGAAAACCCCAGGGTTTTCTGCTGTAATTCCCGAAACACCAGAAGTCCCTTTCACCACCTCTCAGGTGGCGAGAGAGAAGCCAGCTTTCCCTGAAGACCCAGGCAGGCTTCGGACAGGCAGTCCCTGCCTTTCTCATGGGCAAGTTCCAGATGAGAGGAGAATGGGAGCGGGAAAAGCAGCAGCCCTGCTGAGCCGACAGGACCTCTTTTAGAAGAAATGAGGCAGGTGCCAGAGTGTGAAAACTTTCCAACTCTGACGACACACAGCTGTTCAACTGGGCCTGCATCCATAACGTGCCTTCATTTCTTTTCTCTTTTTCTCAAGTAGGCATTTCACCTCACAGAAACACGGCCCTGGGGGAGGGCAAGTGCTTGGTTATCAGGAGGTACCTGCCATTACCAAAGAGGACCAAGCCCTCCCCAAGAAGCTCTACCGGGGGCTCCTCTCCCTCTTCCACCAACCCATCCTCTGCTGTTGAGGCTCTTGACTCACCATACCTGGTGGTATTTCTTTAAGATGTTGTGCATCTCAGCCACATCCTCACTTGACACAGTCTTGATCACAAAGCGCCGGTCATAGGTAGTGAGAAAACGTGTGCCACATCGGCCCTGGCTGTCACTGTTGATGGGGGCACTGCGCGTCACTGAATTCTGATGGACCAAGACAAAAGCTGGTCTTGGGAGGGGAATGAAGACTCTGACTAGTATTCTGAGTCTTCTCTTATGGGTCAGATTGCTCTAAGGCCAACAACACTGAGACAGATGGGACCTTATCCACCCCATTTCTCATGGGAAATTCATATCTTTCCCAAAAAGTCTTCCATAAGAGAGACAAGGGTTGTTCCTTACCACCTGCTCCTAATCCTTGACTGGGATGGGAAGAGGGCTGACTGAAATATTTCTTTTCATTCTGATCCTAGAGAACTTGCTCTAGAAACTAAAACTCGGCCTCAGATGTTCGGGGCCTAGGCTCTAATCCTGATGCTCACGTGTAATAGGACTGGGGTGAGCCACGGAACTTCTCTACTCTTGAGTTTCCTCACCTGCAACGTGAGATGATCGTCCCAGTCTCTTGGGGGTGACGAAGACAAAGCTTAGGAAATATTCAAGAAGTCAAGCATAAAGAAGGAGTGGACACAGTCATCTTTATCTCCTGTATGTACCCTCATGCTGGAAAACCTTTCCCAAAGCAGGAAGCTGGTCCTCACCACTCTGCTCAACACCTCTCCCCTGACCTCAGACTCCTGTTTGTCTTTGCAGAGCTACGAGGCAGATCCGGGGAGCTTTTCTAGCTCTGTCCCTGCTCCTTCTCGGAGCCCCCTTCCCATTAGGATCAGAAGGCAGGAGAAGCCTCAAGCGGGGAGGGAGTAGGGGAAGGTGCGAGTCAACCAAAGAGATGTGTTCCCCGAGCAGATGCTGGGAAAAGACCTTCGGGAGGTCACAAGACAGAGGGTTGACAAGCATAATTCTACCCCTGCCTCATTTCCAGGCAGAATTTCCTGTCTCTCTAAGTCACTGGTAGTCTAAGAGCAGAGAGTCCCCTCCCTGAACACCATCTTCCCTGCCCCTATTTCAGTCCTGAGCACAATTATTTGCCCAAAAGTCTATTAGAAAAAAAATACAGGATGTGGCTAGATGGCCAAGGGGAAGGGAAAGAGCCACCGTGGAAGGAAGATACCCGAGCAACCTTGCCAATAATGGCAAGAAGTTTTCCAAAAACCTCATGCTCCAATCAGGGCATGACTTAGTTCAGGGTCTGGTCCCAATAGGAGGGGCTGGAGGCCCTCCCAGCACCTCCTGGACACGGCTGGTCCTGACTGTGCTAGTCCCTGGCATCTCTTCCTCCTCTCACGTTCCCTCACCCTCCTCTTCAGGAAGCCCCCTGGATGGAGGACAGAGGAGAAGGAGACCCTGCTTCTCATGTTCTACTCCGTGAAAGACTTCCTGGGAGCGGGATGGGAGGAATGACAGTATCTTACAAGATGTGAGCATCCATTTTAGATTTCACTAGGCTGTAAACTCCTTTTTTCCCCCAACAAACAACTGAAAATCAGCTGTATTTCTTACTGCTGAACAAGTGAAGTGGAAAATTCTCCCACCTTCACCACCAGGCTGTCTGCCAGGGGAGGAAGTCCAAGGAAGGTGCTGGGTGGAGAAGTAACAGAAGCCCCAGACAATGAGTCAGACTAGAATGTCCCTGATATTGGGACTGATTCCTCCCGATAGGCCAAAGGCCTCTGTGACATGATCACCCCCTGAAGGGGGCAGCTGCCCTGCCATGCCTAGCCCCCCTCCCAACGTTAGGACAGGGGAGTTTAGGAGGTGGCACTCATACCTGGCAAGAAGTTACACTACCCTTGAAGTCTTCCTTTTATAATCTGTCTTATCAGCTTTAAGAGGCCTCATCTCCCGCTGGCAATAATTCTCTCTTTTAAGTCAAACTACGAAGGAGAAGGGTTCTTCAGCCTAGACTGGGAATGTCAGACTAAAATGAAGCAGCTTCCGTAGACCCGTCTCCCTCCCACTGTGCTCCCTCCCAGGGAGAGGAGCCTGAGCCTGTGAGGCATCATGAGAAGCACTTCTAAGGCCCTCACTCCTCCAAGAGCCCACCAACACTGGAGAAAGACTGCCTGGGCTGGAGTGAGACATGACAGGAAGACGCAGCACAAGAACAGTAGACACGTTTGGTTCCCTACTTGTCCTGTGGCTTCCTGACCCCCCTCCACTCCCTAACCCCTACGATTTTGCAAAGACACCCCATACCTGGTAATCCTGATCATCAATCCCAAACCTCTCCCGGAGATTTCGGAACACCATGGGGCAGTACTCCTTAAACTTAAAGCGGCTGGGGAGGTTCTCTCTGGGGAAAAGCAGAGACATGTTCTTGTGAACTTCTTATTCCTCTAACTCATACACCAGGACCTCTCAAAGTGTGGTCCACAGGTCACCTGGATTGGAGCAATCTGCAGCACTGAAAATGTAGGCTGCTAAGCCCTCAGCATTCTGGAGGTCAGTCTAGAAATCTGCATTTTTAACACACACTCCAGGTGATTCTGAGCATGTAAAAGTTTAAAAACTTCACATTCCTTGTATATACTTTGTAAAAATTAATCTAGGTATATTCTTATGATTTGTGTACTTTTCCTGAGTACATGCTATCTTTCAATAAAATTTACATTAAAGGGAAAAAAAACCTTACCTGCAGAGAAGTGAGACTGAGTGTTGGCCCCACTTCACAAGTGCTGTACTTGCTGCAGGTAGGTGGCCGCATGTGAAGAGCTGCTGTGAGGTAAATGTCAGTCTGACTGCTAAAGGGAAAGGCTTTTCTCATCAAAGGACCCCCCTCCTCTGGGGATGCTCCTATCAATACATCCTGAAGGTGGTTACACCCAGCAAGTCCTGCCCTTGGCTTCCACTGGGATGGAAGGAGAGGGTGCTTTAGATTGAAGAGGTCCTCAGTCAACTGACTGGGATCCCATCTTTCCATGAAGCCTCGTTTGCTGGCTGCTGGCACCAGTCTACGTCCCCCCCACTCCTTAGTCAATCCACAGACTCCCAGGAGGAAGGAGATCAACTTGAAGGGATGCCTCCTCCAAATCCTCCATCTTGACAACAGTCAACCTGCTTGGGAACTCCCTTTCAGAAACATGGCCCTCTGTTCTCATCACAAGGAACAATTTTTTTTCTATTTCTTTAATTCTGTATCTATGTGAGACGATGGCTATTCACTAAACTTATTGTGACAATCATTTCATGATGTATGTAAGTCAAATCATTATGCTGGACACCTTAAACTTACACAGTGCTGTATGTCAATTACATCTCAATAAAACTGAGGGGAAAAAAAAAAGAAATATGTCCCTCTGACTACTCCAGGATGGTAGACTTCAAGGAAATAAAAAGCTGTGGCCTCTCATGAAGGCAGGGGCCTGATCTTCTAGTAAACAGCACTGCAGTCTAATAACTAGCATGTAAACAGTTGTTGGAAAGACAAAAGGAATCAAGAAAGATGAAAAAACAAAGATACTGGATGTCCACTTTAGGCCAAGATGTCAGTGTGGTGGACACCATGGACCCTGGTACAATGACCACACCTGAGCCCTGACCTCTGGCACAGAACAATCCCCTTTCCTGCCTCACAGGGTAGCACTGCCTCTCCTTCCTCAGGTGGTGTGATACTGGATATAATAACAAATATATATTTAGTCTTTGTCCTTGTTTCTGGCACAGAGCTCCTAAAATCTTTGGAATTTCCTAAGTGGTAAGAGTAATAAAGGTGTCTTTTGTTATTTGTAACAAACCCCCTTCAATCACACCTGAATTTATGTTAACGAGGTGACTTTTGTTAAGCCTCTAAGCATGGGTGCTCTTTGCCAGGGGAACCAACCAGGACTAGAGGGTTGGAACTTTCAGTCCCATGCCCCCGACTTCCAGGGAGGGGAGAGGGGCTCGAGGCTGAATCAGTCGCCAGTGGCCAGCGACTTAATCAATCACGCTGTCATAAAAAAGTCCCCATAAAAATCCAAAAGGACAGGGTTCGAGAGCTTCCAGGTTGGTGAACACGTGGAGGTTTGGGGCAGGTGGTGTGCCTGGAGAGGGCATGGAAGCTCCCTGCCCCTTCCCACATACCTTGCCCTATGCCTCTTTTCCATCTGGCTGTTCCTGAGTTGTATCCTTTCATAAAAAACCGGTAATCTAGTACGTAAACTGTCTTCCTGAGTTCTGTGAGCTACTCAAGCAAATTAATCCAACCCAAGGGGGAGGGTCATGGGAACCTCTGATCTACAGCAAATTCGTCAGAAGCACAGGTGACAACCTGGACTGGAGACTGGCGTCCGAAGCGGGGTGGAGGGGCGGTCCTCTGGGACTCAGCCCTTAACCTGTGAGACCTGATGCTAACTCCAGGTCGAGAGTGTCAGAACTGAACTGAATTGTAGGACACCTAGTTAGTGTCCTAAAGAATTGCTTGATGTGTGGGAAACACACACATTTGGTATTAAAAGTGAGTAGTGATGTGAGAGTCGAGGAGAAACAGTTTTTCTTCTATACAGGTGGCCACTTAGCAAGTAGCAGCTATGAAGACAGACAGCTTCTAGAATATGATGTTATTACTTACTATGGCAGAGAGAGGCCACTAATGGATGTTTTCAAATCAAGCTTCTCCTCTGGGCTAACAGTCTGGGAATGGTGGGGTGACAGAGCCCAGCTGGTGAGGTGGTGGAGACGGTGAGACAATGGAGAGTGGAACCAGGATTCAAATGCAGAAAGGAAGAGAGTGTGAGCTGCAAATATTTCCTTGGGTGACCCACAGGAGGATGAAAAAGCAAGGCCTCTAAAGGGCTTACAGCAAGCCCCAAACTGTGCCAGGTGAGGCAGCTGCTCCATCAAAGTCTGAGACAAAGACACCAGTGTTAATCCAAGAAGCCACAATGAGCAAAAATGGGAAGAATGATTTTAGATAGCGCCCCTGGGCACCATGCTCAGCCTGTTGTTCACACACTAGTTGGAAAGAAAGAAGCTTGGCTGCATCCCAGGCCAGGAACATGCCTGGCAGCTTCTTGCCTCAGACTAAGATCAAGATAGGGCCACTGCTGTCAGCCTCATACTAGATACCTCAGCTCCCGAGCAGCTCACTGTTAACTAAACTGGCCCTAGATGAATCACCCTGGGCTGAGCCACAAGCCCTGAGGGACACTGGAGGTAGGCTGATAAAGGACAGAGATGACAGGACGGCACAAGGGGGAGAGGCACATAATGAATGCATTTTCCCAGCCAGTTTTTCAGCTCTGTGAGCCAGGTGTTGCTGTCACACCCTGCTAGGTGCTTGCCTGTCCTCACCACGGTGAGGTTTGGGAAGCTCTCTGCCTTGAGGGAAGGAACTGCCACAAAACCTGAGCCCACTCAGCAGGCAACTTACTTATTGAAGAGATGATTGTCCACCTTGATCTTGCTGTATGCTTTGAAGTCATCTGGCATTAGCATGACAGGGACAGGGACATTGCTCAGCTCATTGATCTGCAAAGCAAGGGGAAAGTGAGGTTCTCAGCCAAGGCACCTGCCTCAGAGAGACAATATGCTACACCGTGGATGCCACCATCTCACCAAACACATGTCCATGGATTCCCTCGTCTTTTTTTTTTTTTTTTCTTTTGCGGTACTCGGGCCTCTCACTGTTGTGGCCTCTCCCACTGCGGAGCACAGGCTCCGGACGCGCAGGCTCAGCGGCCATGGCTCACGGGCCCAGCCGCTCCGTGGCATGTGGGATTTTCCCGGACCGGGGCATGAACCCGTGTCCCCTGCGTCGGCAGGCGGACTCTCAACCACTGCGCCACCAGGGAAGCCCCTCAT